CTTTGGCCAACTAAGTTCGAATGATCCTTAATTTTATTTGATATTCTATTTGCTATCATATTATTAATATTATTATTTAAGCATCTTTAATGAACTGTAATTCCATCGTGATCTTACTTTATAAATCGATATTATTTAAAAAGCACTAATATTGTTATTGACTACCATTCTAGTATATTCTATGTATATGAACATATGTATATAATTGTAGAGCCAGAAGAGGAAATTATTGGAAAGGATATTCTTTGCTCAATTATTTTGTTTTTTATAGATATCGTATTCTGTTGTTAATGCCGAATCGAACTGTGGGAACATGTGAGAATAGCATTCCGTCGGCACACATTATCTGTATCACACCACCACACTCGTCCCCTCGTCAAAACCTTTCGACTGAAATCGGTTCGATCTTCTTGGTGCTGGCGCCTTTGTTAGCTTGTCTTGCTGTAGCGAGTTCTAGAGCTCGCTGACGTTCACCAGCTTCTGTTTGTGTTCATTTCTGATTGTATACACGTGACCCCGTATCATGGTGACCATGTATGATCCTTCCCACTTTGGGAGCAGTTTGCATGACCCTGGCTCGTATTCCACAGTGTTTCGCTTCAAACTATCATACACTGCAGTCTTTCGACCTCCCAGCAGCGTTCCAAGTAACACTCTCATCGCTGACGGATCTTGAACGCCAATCAACTGTGCAACAGCCTTGAAGTCCTGCCCGAATATTCACAAGTTTCCTTCTTCAAAAACTGCAGGGCATAGGCTTTCTATTTGTCGGCAGGCAGTGACACCAAATGTAACAACAGAAGGTGAGATACGGACGCCAAGGTATATTTTTCATTAATCAAACTGCTGTCTATATATCTACAGTTTGTATTCGTCAACCAATCACTGAGCGTGTGATTTCGGTTTACATCAAACAGCATCAAATAGAATGTTCAAATAGATATATCGTATTCTGTTGTTAATGCCGAATCGAAATCTGGGAACATGCGAGAATAACAATCCGTTGGCACACATTGTCTGTATCGCACCACCACAAAATGACTATTCCATTATTTTTTGTCAAATGAAGTTTAAACTTCTCAGAATAAGAACTTTAGGAAGAAAAATATGAAAAATAATTTTTGCTTAATGATTTGAAAATACGTTTTGAAAAACAAAAAAAAATACTGAATCGAAGGTTGAAGAAATAAATAACCCTTTGAACCTATTTTATGAATTACTTAACAATAATAATAATGATAATGAATCGGATCCCATTGGTTGAATGGTATCCGAGAATGCCTTGTAACCTGAAAGGTCTTGGGTTCGAAATCCATCCAGTGGAGGCGTACTGCCGATGAATCCTAGACTAGGACGAAACAGCTGGCTGTCCAGTACTCCTTGGTGGTTTTCAATTGGTTATCTAACTGATATCAATCCGTCGTCTAATAACCTGGAACAAATACAGTGCCTACAAACTAATTTTTGACAAAATTATTAATATTATTAATATAGTGGCGTGTACTACTGAAAAGATTTATCAGTAGTATATAAAGAGACAGAGGTAATGAAGATTCCTGGACAAGAACAACAACAACAGACAACGATCAGCATAAATGGGAGGAACCTGAAAGAAACAACCTCTTTTACCTACCCACTTAAGAAGCATCGTTTCAACTACAGGCGGAACTGACGAGGATATCAAAGCAGTGAGGATCGGAAAAGCAAGACAAGCTTTCATTACTCTCAAGTCTGTGTGGAGGTCAACAACACTCAGCATCAAAAATAAGATCCGGATTTTCAACTCCAATGTGAAGTCAGTGCTACTCACTATACGGATCAGAGACTTGCACTGCGCGTCATAAAGAGCATCTCGAAAAAAACTACAGACCTTCATTAACAGTTGTCTTCGCTCAATACTACTCAAAATCAGATGGCCGGCCAGAAAAGATCAGCAACAGGGATCTCTGGGAGCGAACCAACCAGGAACCGATTGTGAAAAAAATAGGCAGGAAGAAATGGAGATGGATTGGCCATACTCTGAGGAAACAAACCATCAAGTGACATCACTAGACAAGCCATTGCTCGAGTGGAACCCGAAAGGGAAGCGGTGAGTTGGTCGTCAGTGCGAGGGTGACTTGGAGGAGGTCATGTGAAGAGGAGATGAAAACGTGTGGGCAGACATGGTGAAGACTCTAGCAAAGAACCGAACTCAATGGAGACGCACGGCTGAAGCCCTATGTTCCTCTAGGAATTAAAGGAAACAATAATAATAATATAAAGAGACGTTCTTTGGCATATAAAAATATTAAATAGCAGAGAGATAGATTTGACGTCAAAGAGAGCAAATAAACCAGTCAGTTTTGCGGCAAAACATGGGAGACACGAAACGAAGACAAAGAAACGCAATACGAAGTGTAGAAGTAGGACAACGCGGAAGACCTGTGCCATTGATGTTTTTCACATTAGGTGTATACAATTTTCCTATATTTATTATATTATTTATTATTCCCTTGCGTTCCGAGTGGAACATAGGGCTTCAACAACACATCTCCACTTTGTTCTGTTCTCTGCCGTCCTCTTCAGTTGGGTCCACGATTGACCAAACTCTCTCATCTCTTCCTCACCACACAATCTCCTCCATGTCACCCTCGCAACGACGACCCACTCGTCGCTTCCCATTTGCATTCCACTCGAGCAATGGCCTGGCGTGTCATGTCATTCGGCGGCCTCCTCAATGTATGCCCGATCAATCCATCTCCATTTTCTCCTACATATTTGTTGAGCGATCGGCTCTTGCTCGTTGGTTTGTTCCACTGCAGAGTTTCTTGTTGCTTATTCTTTCTGGCAGGCCATTTGATCTTCAGCACTAAGCCAGCGAAGGCAGCTGTTGATGCAAGTCTGCAACAAGCTGTTTGAAATCCTTTACGTGACGCGGAGTGCAAGTTTCTGACCTGTATAGAAGAACCGACTTGACATTGGTGTTGAAAATGCGAATCTTGTTCCTTATGCTGAGTGCGGAAGATTTCCAAACTGGTTTCAGATTGATGAAGGCGTATCTTGCCTTTCCAATCCCCACTGGCTGGCTTTGACATCTTCATCCGTTCCGCTGGCTGTAGTTGAAACGATGCTTCCTGGCCAGATAAGTGAAGGAAGGAAGTAACCTCTGTCAAATCTCTCCCGTTGATGGTGATTGGTGCTGGTTGTTATTTGCTGTTGATTGGTTATTTTCATCACCTCGCTTAGTTAACTAGCTTGCTAGTTTTCTAGCCGGTCCCAAATCCGGGTAAATAGGGAGGGTTGGTCGTGGGGCTAGCAATCCCACACCACTAAATCTTTCAAACCGCTAGAGAAACTTCAACACACAGAAAATATATTAAATTTCCCTATAAAGAGATATCAAATACCAAATAAACATTCCGTTAGCACGTCTCTTATCTTCTACCTTTCCAATATGTTTAGTCGACTTATTTCCTGAATGCATTCAAATCTGGAAATCGTGAATTTTTTAAATTTTGGTAATATTTTCGATTTTCTACAGTTTTAGTTTGTAAAGGTTAGTTATGTTTTTACGAGTTGATCACGGATTGATATCAGTTAGAGAACCATTGAAAACCAACAGGGAGTACTGGACAGCTGTTTCGCCAGCCTAGTTTGGGAATCATCGGCAGTACGCACCCACTACCAGGGGGTTCGAACCCAGTACCTTCCGGTTACAAAGCCAGCTCGTATACCATTCAGCAACTGGGATCCAATTCAGTGACCAGCCCATGAATTCTAACTTCTACCAATTCGTGATTTAGCGCCACCCCAACCAGTGTCGTTGGTGGGACATCCATCCTCACACGTGACATCTGGATGGACCTCACTGGTTACGACTTCCCACTAGAACTCCAGGAAACTCCATCCTGTAGCAAGTCACTAGCGAGCATCAGATTATTTTTCGATAGTTTTGGTTTGTAAGGGTTAGTTCCTGAGCCATTGAATCGGGTCCTGGTGGCTGAATGGTATACGAGCTGGACTTGTAACCGGAAGGTACTGGGTTCGAATCCCCTGGTAGTGGGTGCGTACTGCCGATGATTCCCAAACTAGGCTGGCGAAACAGCTGTCCAGTACTCCAGTGCTGGTTTTCAATGGTTCTCTAACTGATATCAATCCGTGATCAACTCGTAAATAAATATTTTCGATCAAAATTACTACCCGCAATCACATCAAGTGTTGGAATTCACACATGATTTGTAATCATATATATGTATAGTTCATTTATTGTCCATTCATTTTTGTGTATCCAGAATTATATTCTATGTTGTTGACAGAATTACAAGTTACTGTCAGCAAAGTCTGTGAATAGAAGTTAGTATATAATACACAATAATACTCTTGATCGTATTTCTCCAATCTTCTGTCAACCAGTATATACAATTAAGCAACATTAGCCTTATTATTTCCCGCGAAATGGAGACCAGTTCGAATAAACAAACCATTCAATGTTCAGCAACACTAACACTACTTTTAATGATTTGAAATAAACTTATTACATAAAAAATTTCTAGGTCACTTAATAATGATTTCCGATGAGTATTCGTTTCACAAGAGTGGTACAAAGGTGAAGCACATCTATGTATGCTGTCAACACTTATTCCATTGGCTGAAACTGACTAACAAAGAAACCTACCAACAGAGTTTGCATCTACATGTGTGCAAGCAAGCTATAAAAATCCAATTGATCTAAAACACTATAAGTCTTTACCAAGAGTCGTATGATCATGTTTCTGAGGCTCACTTTCTGTTTGATTTTATGGTTATCCAACTATTCAACACACATTGCCGGACTCGTTCCTAAGCCAACACACTATGATATCACTACATCAGCATGCAGTCTACTCTATACACCAATTTATCAACATGATTATCCATCATGTTTGATACTGACAAACTCTCTGAGGAATTTTGAATCCCGACTGGCGCTGAGACATATCCCAATTGATGAGCCTACCGAAATAAAATGCAGCATACACAGAATGAAAGTGGAGATCAGAGATGGCTGTGATGAATCTGAGAATAAACTATGGCCAAGTGAATCAATGGATGAATCATGTGAGTATAATAATTCACTCACATAATCTATCTCATAACAGACAACATCACTATTCATGACCGTGAAATAAGTATCACATCGAATGAGATTTGGGGTGTATTACATGCTCTGGAAACAATACTCCAATTAGTGTATACAAATGAAGTTGGAGAGGTTACGTTGTGTTTTGTTTTTTTACTCCTGTGTTACCTTGACTAACTTTAATTCTTCTTTGTGTAGAATTTGATTTTTAAAGGTAGGATAGAAGATGATCCGGAGTTCTCATATCGAGGAGTATTGGTCAATACTGGAAGTAACTTTATACCTATGGAGTATTTATTCAAAACAATAGTAAGTCTCTGTATAATCAATACGAATGCAACAAACTGGTTGGCTCTCACGAGGTATGCAACATAGACGGCACTGAAATAGAAACCAAATCGGAAATTAAATACCTAGGTGTCATTCTATCTGCTGATCTCTCCTGGTCGTCTCATATCTTAGCGATTTCTAAGAAAATATTCCGTCTTACCTTCTACATCAAGAAGTTGAAACATTCTGGTATAACCCAACCCTTACTCCTACAATTCGTTAATTCTCGCATTCTGCCTATTATTCTCTATTGTTCCCCCTTAGTTTTTCCCGGGCTACTGAAGAAAGACTATAACATATTACGCAGGATGTTAAAGGTTGTCAGCAGAGTAAGCAACGTGCCACTTAACCAGCTTGTTTATATTCTGGTTGACAGGCACATGGACTCATGTGAAAAATGGGCCAAATCCATTTTATCTAACTCACACCACCCTCTCCACTCACAACTCTCCCCTTGCATCTCATCAGGCAAAACCAGAAGCCTATATAGAAAACTATATGCTCGCACCAGCAAGTACAAAAACTCAACCATACCCTACTTAGCTCGTGTTCTGTGTGATAAAGAAAGCATTAGGCGTGACACCTATAATTCATTAAATAGTCAGTAGTACAACTGGATCTCGTCTTTCCAACTCACATCATCAATAGGTTCAACATTTCCTTTCTTTCTTTTCCTTTTCTCTCTCTTCTTTTTCCGTTATGTGCTGCTTTGTCTCTTTCTCTCGCTTACGCCAGTTAATAAGACAGCTCCCACTTTTCTAACACCTTCAAACACTGTTCAGCTTTACCTTTGCTACCGACATGCCAATGTGTTGTTGTAATAATGAACTGTGGTTTCCTTAATCTATGTAGAACTCTATTTATTGATAATGTACTAACTGGATGCAATACTGTGTTAAAAATGCTGAGAATTCCATTCTGTATCACAAGTACTGTTTTGGAATAAAGCAAATTATTATTATTATTTTGTTTTCTCTCTCTCTCTCTCTCCACTCACAGGATGCTATGGCAATGGTTAAAATGAATGTATTCCACTGGCGTGTGACAGACAATCAATCATTCCCTTTTGTATCTTCAACTTATCCAGAATTATCAAACAAGGCAAGTGAAGTTGGCGGAATTTTCATTTTCTATGGTTGACCTTGTGTTACTTCATTAATAGGGTGCTTTTCATCCACAATCTTGTACATATGATGAAGAGGAAGTTTCCGATCTGTTGGAATATGCTCGTCTTCGTGGAGTACGTGTGATTCCAGAGTTTAATACACCAGGTAATTTGCTGGAAGTTTTTAATTTAAAAAATTTTTTATGTGAGTAGTAAACTGTATCATTTAAGAAAGTAGGTAGTTGATGCAATAATTACCGACAGATAATCGTGAATCCATGACCCAGTACAATTAGGATGACTGTCAATTGTCTAGATCGTAAAGATGCTGCATCTTTCGTTGGTTGATTGACTGACTGACTGGCTGGTTTCAACATAGAACTTTGCACCGATGTGCAGCAGCTCGAGTCACCACACTCCCTTCTTGTAGCACACAAAGCAAGAGAAGAAAGTTAAAGGAAATGCAAAATAGAGACAGTAAACAGAGATATGAAGCAAAAAGAATAGTAATATCGAAGAACAATATAATCTCATTGGGTATTATAAGTCACAAGGAGTGGATGCATCTGCACCAGTCATTGAGAACGAGGATTTCTAGCCATATCACCATTTGTCTCCAGCCTTCATTGGTGTTCACCGTCCTGAGGAACTCAAACAGCCATGAAGTCTACACCTTCCTACGTGGCTAGCTGGCTTAAACTAACTGTTGTGGATTTCATTGACTGATGAAGCCATGTTTTGGTTTGACCACCACTCACTAGCTCTTTTACAACCTGACCCTATGCCAGCTAACATTGCCCATCGGTCGAGGAAGGCGATGGCTAGGGATGCATGCATGTTCTAACCATCTCAGTAGATGCTTTCGTTGGTTTCAGAGGACTATGCCTAACACGCGGAATGCTATGCACATCATCCGACGAGGAACAACAGGAAACGGTGGTATAGTACGATTATTTATTCTTCCACTGATAATGAAACAGAATAACAAGCTACTGTCAACAAAGTCTGTAAATAAACGTTAATATAATATACAATAATACTTCTAATCATATTTCTCCAATCTTATGCCAATCAGTATACGAATAAGCGAAGTCATCCTTCTTGTCCCCCACGAGATAGAGACCAGTGCGAATAAACAGACCATTCAATTTCATCATGAGCTGACATTGGTTAGAGAACCATTGGAAAACCTGGGAGTACTGGACAGTTGTTTCGTCTTAGTTTGGGACTCTTCATCAGTACGCACCCACCGTGCTTCGCACCCAGGACCTTCTGGTTACAATGGTTCTCTAATCAATGTCAGCTCATGATGAAATCCTTTAACCAATCAAATCCCTACAAACCAACACTTGAAGACCATTCATCCATAAGATTAGAACATGTATTACTGTTATTATTATTATTAGGATTTTGTAGTAACTATATGTGTACATATCTTTCGTTTAGATCATACATTATCATGGGGAAATGGTTATCCCGACATACTAACAAAATGCTATAAAGATTCTGAACCAGATGGAAATTTGGGCCCCTTGAATCCAACTGATCCTGAAACTTTTAACTTTCTGGAGAATTTTTACAAGGAAATTATCACTAGATTCACTGATAGTTACCTTTATCTTGGTGGTGATGTCGCAGATTTAAGTTGTTGGTGAGTACACCAGTTTTAGTATTAATATCATTATTATTATTATTTATTATTGTTCCCTTGGATTCTGAGTGCAACATAGGGAGGGCTTCAACAGCACATCTCCACTTTATTCAATTTTCTGTGGTCCTCTTTAGGTGGCTCTACAAGTGTTTATAACCTCTCATCTCCTCCTCTTCACACGATCTCCTTCATGTAACCTTCGAACCAAAGCCATACTCGCCGTTTCCAATTCGGATTCCACTTAGGCGACGGTCTGGAGCGCTGTATCATTCGATAGTCACCTAAGCGCATACCAGCTCAGCTCCATTTTCTCCTACATATTTGTTGAAGGATTAATTCTTGGTTATTTGTTCCCATAGTTTCCTGTCGCTAATTATTTCTAGCCGGCTGACTATTTCAATATATGTGTACAACTTGGGCAATGTGGTAGTAAGTAATTCCATATTAGTTTGTTTATTAGGTATATCACACAGTGAAACAGTATTATTTACTGGATGACGTTTCGAACAAAATTTATTGCGGTTCATAATCATATCAATTGTGATCACACGACTTTGACATTTGAGTTTTATAGTTTCCTTTGTTCTCTCCTATTTGTCGTATGGGTAGTAGAATTTTCCAGATATCCGCCTGGACAGTTGTTGAATCATTCCTATTACACGCATTTGCAGTTGATTCGATAAACAAAGTTTCTGTTATCAATCTCTCCCTCCACCCTGTGACATTAAATTTTAAAACTGTCATCCTATCCCATCCTATTGTATGGTTGTGTGTGACTGCATGTAGTGCTATAGCTGAACTATTCTCTAGATTTCTTATCGTATTCGGGTCAACCAATCTAGATTTTGTTAAGTTTTTATGTTCAGCTAGTCTGACTGCCTCTGTTCTACTAGTTTGACCTATGTATTTGACCTGACAATCATTTCAGGCAGGGTATTAGATAAACTAAATTGTTTTGTTTTAAAGGCTCTACAGGATCCTTTAACCGACAAAGCTTGTTTCTAATTGAGTTTGTGGTTGGTTTGAATGGCAGTCACTTTTATTCCTGCCTTGTTAAGAATTCTGCGTAAGGCTTCCGAGGTTCCTTCCTTGTATGGAATTACTACTGATGATTTAGATTCTTTATTGTTGGTGTCGTAATTAGTATTAGGACTCTCGCCGACCATGCACATGGTCCGGGGTTCGATCCTCTGCCGGCGCACACCCGATATCTATGGTCGGCCTGAATTTGGGCTACCGATATCCATGCTGAAAATTCCATATTTGTACTGAAAATACGGTGTGGAATCAAGCTGTAAATAAAAATTAAAAAAAAATAAAAATAAATAATATTATTATCACTATTATCATTATTATTGTTATTATCACTATCGCTACTATCATCATTTATTTTATTTTTACATTTCCTTACATATTTCTTGATTAATTTATCCGGGTAATTATTAAGTTTCAAGGCTTCTTTTATGTGTATCAGAATTAGCTGACTATTTCATCTTCCGTATGGAGTCAGCAAAGGCAGTTGTTGATAAAAGTCTGCAACAGCCTGTTGGAAATGTTTTTCATGACATGCAGTGCCACGAAGTAGTGACTGACTGACTGACTTCACATATGTGTTGGAATTCCGAATCTTGTTCTTTATGTTGGCAGAGTGCAGGAGATCTCCAAAATGATTTCAGATTGTTGAAGGTGTACACCACTTTTCCGATTCTGACTGATTTTGACATCTTTATTCGTTCCGAGTGCCTATAGCTAAAGTGATGCTTCTTGACCAGATAAGTCAAGGAAGGAAGTAACCTCTGTCAAATCTCCCCCGTTGATGTTCGTTGATGCTGGTAATTGTTGTTGTTGTTGGTGCGTGGGTATCTTCATCACCTCCGTCTTTTCTATGTTCACCTGGAATCCTGTCTTCACTGCCCGCCTCTTCTGCCAGTTTGTTGGTTTCCGCCTGCCCGTAAGTCCTCGAGTTTGTGTGATATTAGGCATGAATCATTCACGAAATCCAGATATTCTAGAGTCTTTTTATCGAAGGTCCAACGTATTCCTGTCTTCTCACTCCCACGCACAATCGTTCGCATAATCCAGTCCACCACAATTAGGAAGATCACTCCACTTAGTACTGGTATTCAAATAAATGAAACTGTTACAGGATTTCCATCATGAGCTGACATTAGTTAGAGAACCATTGGAAAACCTGGGAGTACTGGACAGCTGCTGTTTCATCCTAGTTTGGGACTCTTCATCAGTGTGCACCCACCGGGATTAGAACCCAGGAACTTCTGGTTACAAGGCGAGCTCGTATACCATTAAGCCACTGGGACCCGGTCAAATGGCCCATGAATTCTAACTTCTGCCAATTCACGACCTAGCGTGACCCCTAGCCAATGTCTTCGGCGAGTATGTAGTCCTACTCACATCTTGTCTTTATAATGTAACTCCCCTATCACTGTATGGATATAGTGATTTTTTTTGTTTAAAATTGAATTCTATGGGTAAAAACCACATAAATATAATTTTCTGAGCACTGTTCACTAAGTTTTAAGCCCCCTGTCAACTGATATCGCGTAAAATTTGCAAACATGGTAAAATTGTACTGTACGTAAGCTGAATAATTTCTTGAGGCTGTACACAGATGATGAGAAGCCGGTAGAAAGAAACAGTGCTATCATCTTATTTTGCACAAAATACAAATGAGTTCCCTTTGTTTAATCTTTAAAAAGTGAGTAAGCATCAGAGCACCTGAGATACATTGTGTCTCTATCTGTCTTGGAGAATGCTATGTCCACTTGATTTTAATTAGATGCCAGGCTATTAAATAACCGAAGGATTTTCTTTCCTTGAGTTGGAATATGCTCACTAAATTTATGGCAATACATAATATTTGATTATACTCTGAAACAACAATTTGCACTTATACATAAATTTATTGAAGAGGTCTACAAATAATCTAAGAAAAGAAAAGGATAAGATACCGCTTTTGGCCACCTCACGGTATAGTTGTCAGTATACTTGCTCGTATGGAGCAAAGTATATCGACCGTATGAAACGTCAAGTCCACAGGCGTATTCTGGAACATTGTCCAGCTCAGTTGACCAGAGGAGAAAAGAAGAATAATAGCAGCTCCGTCCTCGAACGCCTTGTCATCTCTGGACATTGAGCACCCCCACTTTCATGAGTGCTACACAGAGTCGCTCAATATCGTACAAAGGTACTTCGCATACGCCATCTGTACATAGCTTAATCATTAGCTATTCGGGATCTGAAACCGGACTTCTGCATTCAAAAGCGCTACATATAACCACTCGCCCTACCGTAACCAGAGTGTCAGCTTACTGTTATTCTTACTATTATTTTATTATCATTATTATTCCCATCATCCATATTTTATTACCACTCTATTACTGTTTATTAATAACATTGCGTTTTCATACAGATTTTATATAAAAACACTTTATCGTCTTTCCACTAGTTCCTGTCCATTCTACACGAGCTTAATGATTAGTCATTACCTCACACTGATTACGTCATGCCAACTTCTACCTCTTTTCTAACTTACAATTAGTCATCCTATCTAGGTTACACCTTATATCATGTAATACATTTTTCGAGGACAAATCTTACCAGTATCTCATCGGTCTTATGATTTCTTTGTTAAATATATAATTACGATTTTACAGCAGCTTATGAAAATGAATCGTTGAAAGGAGAATTTTCTGCGCTGTTTACGCCTTTTTCTAGTGTGTAAAAACATTGGAAGTAATTCCATTATGGGTAAATTTTTATTTTGATAGAGTCTCACAGTGTTATACAGTAATATTTACTGATGACGTTTCGAGCTCAATTTATTGCTCATAATCATATCAAGGCGTTACTCACACGACTTCCTAAATTCATTTATATAGTTCCATTGTTTTTCACTTGATTTGATTGGTAGTATTATTTTCCATATTTCAGGTATGAGTGATGAATCATTCCTATTGCATGTGTTGGGTGTAGATTCGATGAACAAGGATTCAGTAATCAACCTCTCTCTCCACCTACCTAGATTACTTTTTAGAATTTTAACCCTCTCCCACAACCTTATTGCGTGGTTGTGTGTTAATGCATGCAGTGCAATTGCTGAGCTTTTTTATAAATTACTTATTTTCTCAACCATTCTTAACTTAGCTAAATTCTTATGTTCTGACAATCTGACTACCCCCGACCTACTAGTTTGACCTATGTAGTTGACTTAACTCACAGTCATTGCAGGGTATTTTGTGAATTATATTATTTTGTCTAATTGGGTCAACTGGGTCCTTAAACCTACAGAGCTTGTCCCTGAGTGCGTTTGTAGGTTAAAATGCCACTCTAATTCCTGCTTTATTTGGAATCCTACGTAGGGTCTCAGATGTTCCCTTCTTATATGGTATAACTGCAGATGACTTATATTCTCTCTTATTTATGTTATTGTTACCAGTTTCACAATTCTTTTTATTTTTCTTTTGGCGTTTTTCAATCTTCCTAATGAATTTTAAAGGATAGTTATTTAGAACCAACGCCTCTTCTATCTGTTTTATTTCATCCTTTAGGTCTTTTTTTGTGCTACTTAGTGCCATTGCTCGGTTTGTTAAACACTTAACTAAGCCTGCCTTAACAGTTAAAGGATGAGATGAATTAAAGTCTAAATATCTATTAGAATGCGTTGGTTTTCTATAAACACTAGTGTGTAGTTTGCCTTCTTCTATTCGTTTTATTTTACAATCTAACATAGCTAATTCTCTTTGTTCATTTTCAGCTTCAAATGTGAACTTTATTCCCTCCACTAGTGAGTTTATGTGTGTCAAGAAGCTAGAGATATGTTCTGTTTTTAATACTGTGAAAGTGTCATCCACATATCTCCACCATATTTTTGGAGTAGGATTAAACGTATTAAGTGCCATATTTTCCCAGCTATCCATAAATATATCTGCCACGATAGGGGATATTGGTGATCCCATTGCTACACCTTCAGTTTGTCTATATATTTTGCCTTGGAATTTAAATATAGTAGATGTGAGGCATAGCTGAATCCCTAAAATAATTTTTTTCAATGGACAGCTTTGTCCTATGATTGAGTTCAGGATCCGCAGTTAGTTCTTTTTTAACTGCTTCTAAGGCCATATTGACTGGTATATTAGTGTAAAGACTGGTTATATCAAAACTAACCATCGTTTCATCATTATCTAGTTGTATGTCATTTAGTTTATTTTTCATCTCATATGAGATGAATCTACACCCAACACATGCAATAGGAATGATTCATCACTCATACCTGAAATATGGAAAATAGCACTACCAATCAAATCAAGTGAAAAACAATGGAACTATATAAATGAATTTAGGAAGTCGTGTGAGTAACGCCTTGATATGATTATGAGCAATAAATTGAGCTCGAAACGTCATCAGTAAATATTACTGTATAACACTGTGAGACTCTATCAAAATAAAAATTTACCCATAATGGGAAGATAGGCTTCTTTTCCGTTGTGATTTGTTTGACATTTGAGCCTTCAAATCTTCCGTATTTGTTAATGACTTTCTGTGGGTAGCCATGGAAATTTTCACTCTAATTTGTCTGTAGAGCGGATTCTCATGATTCTAGTTTGGAATGAAGTGATTATTATTATTGCCATTGTATGCATACATTGATCTTCTTGTTTAAACTTGAACTCTGTGATTAAGTATGTTAAAATAGTTTCTGTACATTAGACATAATAATATGTTTAGGCTGTGAGCAGCTGATGAGAAGCCATGGAGATAAGTAAACGATGATGGTATCATTTTATTCTGCACAAACCACTGTTGTTCTTGCTTTATTCAAATTCAAAAAGGTGAATAAATGCATGAAGTTTACTCCACAATCTTTGTTGCTGTACTTACAGTACAGCATTAGTGGTAGCAAAAGCAGTAGACGATGACAAATCTGTGATGATAAAAATGATGACACTAAGTTAGTGATAAAGACGAATTTTCAAAGTGGTCAGCTACATAAAGTCATCAAAAGAATTACTGATAAATAGAATCCCAGTGTGCTTATAAAATCAAAACAAGATTTCACTCCAATGAACTTTGAGATAATTTTACAACGACTCACTGTGAAACTTGGCGCTCAAATCGTCCCGGGGAAATTTGCAGTATCTTTGATCAGGATATTTGTAAACGTAATAGATAAGAGCTTAGAAAAGCAAAAGTGAGACTACGTAATATCTAACTGTGTGGAAAGTTAATAATCGGAGTTTGAGACAAGATGTACTGACCTTAAAGGAAGAAATTGAAAACAATTTACGAGGATTTAATTAGTTAGTTTTTGCGTCGTCAGTATAGTAATAACTGACTATACTCTGAAACAACAATTTGCAATTACAAATAAATTTATTGAAGAGGTCTACAAATAATAATAGAAAAGTAACGAGCAATGCTCAACACCACTACTGAACATCTAATCTGACAGAAACAGTTAGACTTGAGCACAGAAATTGTTTTAATAATAATGATAATAGCTTTACTCAGAACAATATTTATATAATGTACAGAATTTTCAACAGAGTTAATTGGATGATATTTTCCCCTCCGCCAGGATCTTCAAATAAAAGATTAATTGACAGTACATCCTGTGACATAATTGTCTACGACCAGAAGTGCGAACCAATCCGTCTCTTCTTTTTCTCTTTCGAAAAATACAAGACGACATTTTGTTGAATGTCAATTATAAAACGTTCAGGAGTACATTTCGTGAACCGAGGACACAACTCAGGAACGGTTATCTCATGTATTGAGATACGCTGCCGTGCAGGATTATGCCTTTTTTCTGAGGTTAAGTGGAAACTGTTAAATCAGCAGATTGTAAACATTTTAAATAACCGCCAAAGTAAACAATACTATTAGAGGTCATATTTTATTCGATTAAAACACAACGACCAAGAGAATTTATGTGCATTATAGAGACGAAAGTTGTCGGTAGCCCAAGTTCCGCGCAGGCCACTTCTCTCAACCAGAGTCTGAAAATCTGGAGATCGAGGCTGTCGTCACTGCTCCGATTGTCACATGTTTTTACCACTGTTCACTAATGTTGTTCATATTACTGCAATAATGGAACATAAGCACCTACTTTCTCCTGTTTTCGTTTAATTAGACTAGTGTAATGTTTACTGCTGTCTTTTACAGGAAATCTAATCCTGAAATAGTTCAATTTATGGATAGCATGCAATTCGGTGACGATTATGGTAAACTAGTCACGTACTACATGGACAGGCTTGTAGAAATCATTGCAAATGTGACACCATCTGAAAGCACAATTACACCAATTCTACATGAATCAGTGTTTACAAATGGATTCCGTGTGAGTAATTTTATACCCCTCCACTAGTGAATAATTCTTGTTGGTATTTTTTGATTATATGATAGTTGGAAAACGTGTTTCCAATCGTTTTTTTTAATGGGCGCAATTTATTAAAATACTTTTGACAGTACTTCACGTTTCCTTGAATTGGAAGTACTATCTCAATGAAACTGTTCAGTTTTTGAGTAATTAGACTACAACTAGTAATATTATTTGATGTTCTTTGAACTTTCTTTAGCGATTGAGTTGATTTTCCGTGGGAGGGTCACTAGCTCCACCCCGACCTTCCCTATTTCTTCGGGATTAGGGCCGACTAGTTAATTAGGCTAACCAAGGACAAATCCCCTGACACATATTCAGAAGGATGTGAAGAGGGATCGAACACATGCAGAGAAAACCGTTCAGTGACATTGCTAGCTAGGCGTTCAATAGTGATTTGAGGAGATCTTATGTGGATGGGATGAGAGGTTGTCGGCGACTGTGATGACAGCTAAAGAGGATTGCAGCAAAAAAGGATGAAATGGAGATGTGATGATAAAGCTCTATGTTACACTCAGATCCCAAGGAGATAATAATTAGTTATATTATTATTCATTCCACATGTTTCATCTCCTCTTCACACGATTTACTCCATATCACCTCTATCGCTCCCCATTTGGGTTCCACAAGAGAATCTCATGAATGTCGTTAATCACCAGCCTCTCCAGGGAAGAATATTCAGCTCGTCTGCACCTTCTTTTCCATATGTTTTAGATAATGGGTTGTTAGCTAGTTTACTCGTTGAATTCCTTGGTGTTTTTCCACTATCGGCCAACTCATCTTTACTGTCGAGCACAGACAGGTGTCGATGAAAGTGTGCAGCTTATTAGGATAGTATCTATCGTTGCGATTGCTACTGATAAGATTTATCAGTAGTATGTAAGAGACGTTCATCGACATAAAGGGATCAAATATCAAGGAGATACATTTGATGTACAGCGTTATGCAGATACATGGGAGGAGTGAAAGTAACACAAAGAAACACAATATGAAAGAAGGCCAGAAGTACTACAACACGAAAGTCTGTGCGATTTGTGCATTGAAGATAGCCTGTACATAATTTGGCTATATAGAGATACCGTTTTCCAAACAAACATTCCTTAACAAAGTCTTTTGTCTCCTACCGTGACACTATGATGCGTGCTAGAAGTTTTTGAACCATGTATAAGCACTAATTCACATTACTGTTCAAAATTCTGATCTTCTTTCTTCTGCTAAGCACTGTTGATCTGCACACGGATTTTGGATCTATTTATACACACAGTGATCCAAAAAGCCTTATGCACAAAATACATTTCTTCATATTGATAATAGGTGATTATGTTTTACTACTTTCAGAGATAATTTGCTGTTTTTGGCAAGCTATTTGCACATATATATCTCCTATTAATATTATAAAGTATATTACTGTTTCCTTTAGTTCCTAGAGGAACATAGGGCTTCAGCCGCACGTCTCCATTGCGTTCGGTTCTCTGCCAACGTTTTCACCTGACTCCACGTCTGCCCACATGCTTTCATCTCCTCTTCACATCACCTCCTCCATATCACCCCACCGTCGCATTGACGATCAGCTCGCCGCTTCCCATTTGGGTTCCACTCGAGGGCCTGTCTAGTGATGTCACTTGACGGTTTGTTTTCTCAGAGTATGGCCAATCCACCTCCATTTCTCCCTGCATATTTGTCGCACAATTGGTTCCTGCTAGGTTGGTTCGCTCCCAGAGATCCCTGTTGCTGATCTTTTCTGGCCGGCCATCTGATCTTGAGTAGTATTGAGCGAAGACAACTGTTGATGAAAGTCTGTAGTTTGTTCGAAGTGCCCTTCGTGACGCGCAGCAAGTCTCTGATCCGTATAGTGAGTAGCACTGACTTCACATTGGAGTTGAAAATCCGGATCCTATTTTTCATTTTCATGCTGAGCGCTGTTGATCTATCTTCACACAGACTTGAGAGTAATGAAAGCTTGCCTTGCTTTCACGATCCTCACTTTGATATCCTCATCAGTTCCATCCGCCTGTGGTTGAAACGATGCTTCCCAGGTCGGTAGGTAGTTAAAGGAGGTTGCTTTTTTCAGATTTCTCACATTTATGCTGGCTGATTGTTGTCTGTTGCGGTTGCTATTGCTGTTTTCTCTATGTTCACCTGAAGTCCTATCTTCTCTGGATGCTTCTTCTGCCAACTTGTTGCTTTTCACTTGCATATCTTCTAGTTTGTGAGAAATCAGATATATCTCCTATACTAAGAAATTATTAGCTTGTGTTTCACAAACATTCAGGCATCATTTTTCATTTTCCTTACTACCCATTATTTTAATGTTCTCTATTGTTTTACTTCATAATGTTCTTTCAAATGCGCACTGTATATCTTTTCTCCGTCTATTAATGTTTTCGTGATTAACAGAGCAATACTAATGCGATAATTCACGTATGCAGTAGCTTGGATTGGAAAACTGTGACACAGTTGGCTACTACAGAAGGATTTAATGTTATAGTCACTGGTGCATGGCAACTTGATGTTTGGTTGAGTGCAGATGACTGGAAACAGCATTATGAACAGGATATCAGAGACTTTGGAGGTAAGTTATCTGTCACATTTCTTCTAAGTTAACAACATATTCGGTGTATTCGATCGCCTTTCAATCGATTGAATAAGTTACTTGGTCTGTTATTGTACTTTTATGTAAATTTTCACATAAAAAGTAATTCCCATGAAAGTGTTATTTATCTCTAAGAATAACGTTGCTTCTTACAGAATAAAGAAACACCCTATACTACTTGTAATAGTTCAAATGGATTTTCAGATGGCACTGTTTCTTAAGAAAATCTGAAACTGCATAGCATTATTATTATTATCATTCCCTTGGGTTCCGAGTGGATCGTAAGGCGTCAGCGGTACCTCTTCGTTTTTCTCTGTTTTCTTCAGTTTTTTTAACTGGTTCTACAATTACCTGTAAGCTTTTATCTCCCCTTCACACGATCTCCCTCCTTGTTACCCTTGGACTCCTAAATTGTCATCTCCCATTAGGCTCCTATCCAAGAACTCCGTGAGTGATGTCATTTAGCAGTACTTCTCAGCGTGTGCCCAATCCATGTCTATTTCCTTGTGTATATTTGTTGGAGGTCAACAGCACTCAGCATGAAAATGAAAAATAGGATTTTCAACTCCAATGTGAAGTCAGTGCTACTCACTATACGGATCAGAGACTTGGCCAGCGCGTCACAAAGGGCACCTCGAACAAACTACAGACCTTCATCAACAGTTGTCTTCGCTCAAAACATCACTCAAGATCAGATGTCCAGAAAAGATCAGCAACAGGGAGGGATCTCTGAGAGCGAACCAACCAAGCAGGAACCGATTGTGCAACAAATATGCAGGAAGAAATGGAGGTGGATTGGCCATACTCTGAGAAAACAAACCGTCAAGTGACATCACTAGACAGGCCATTGCTCGAGTGGAACCCGAAAGGGAAGCGGCGAGCTGATCGTCAATGCAACGGTGGGGTGATATGGAGGAGGTGATGTGAAGAGGAGATGAAAGCATGTGGGCAGATTTGGAGTCAGGTGAAAACGTTGGCAGAGAACCGAACGCAATGGAGACGTGCGGCTGAAGCCCTATGTTCCTCTAGGAACTAAAGGAAACAATAATAAATAATATAATAACAATTTGTTGGGCAACAGATTGTCGGTTCGTTTGTTGCCAGAATTCCCCTATGCTAATCCTTTCTGGTCATCTAACCTGCAGTATGGAGGGAAGACAGCTGGCGATCAGAGTTGACAGTCTGTTTGAAAAATGTGTGTAGTATGGAGTTACTAAATTCAAACGGGTCAGTTGGTGGAAAAAAAATTTTCAACGAGGATATAGAAAAATTCACCGGTCATAAGAGCAACATATTCTAATGTCGTCAGCAAGCGATGTGTCTTCCAATAATATATTTCAATCCATCTATCATGGTATAATTGATGAGATCTTTGTTTAATGCTGATCCTAGTATATGTCCTCTTCATTTCATCACCTCAGTATTAATAAAATCTACTCAGTATCAAGTAAACATATTGGAAGAATCTCTTGAAAGCTTCCACGTGTTATTTCGAAGACGGACAGCGTTCACCACTATGGAGTTTGGTTTTGAGTCTGATAGTTCCGTGTCTAATTGTGTAAATGAATGAAGTGTTGCCAAATAAGAAAGTTGAAACCGCCAGATTATTTTTCACATTGTCCCTATGCAACAAATATGAGCATGTTATTTAACTCAGTCAGGACTTTCCCGTTGATTGATTGGACCGGAGTGCTAGGCCTCTGTTAACTGATACTTGCTACACAAGTGTTGGCCCTTGTGGCCCTCGTGGACTAGTGGATAGCGCTTACATTATTTGGGTCCTGGGCTCGAACCTCATTGAAAACACCATAATGCAGGTATGTAAGTGTTGGGTTATACTTAAGATAGACCTCAAATAACCGCCCTTACTAAATACTTCACCCCTTAACAACCTTATCAATACTCTACCTAGCGCGTAAGTACTGACGAACGAAATCAAAGTAAAAAGACTTGAGACGGGAAGTTTGTCTGGGACGGAGTTGTATTTTACACAAGTGAAATATCAAATTTAATCAATAAAGATCTTATACGACTTATCTGATGCCTCGACTGGGTGGTAAGCTTGAAGAGTGCGCTGAATGAAAGCACAACAAGGGAGGGAGCCAAGTACGTACAGTCGTGTCGCAAATCAAAAGATGAAGTAGCGCCAAAAATGGGTGAATGCGTTAAAACAAAAATTCAAAGGTTCAAGGTTCACTACAGGTACATCCAGATGCCCAGTGCCATAGTGAACGAAGTGCTCACTCAGGATTCCACTGCTAATCCTCAAATCACTTCAAAAATAAGCACAATTTCGATACTTTCACAAATGAAAATGGTTTTCAGAAGTGATGGAACAGCTGACAGAAATAAACCGCGCATCCTGAAAGCAGTTTGCACTCTGTTATGAAGTAGACAATATTCTGTTATTATACTAGTGAATGCATATTCATGTTACTTCATTCTGTTGACACAGGGGAAGTCTCATATTGGTAAATATTGATAAATATTATTGCTCAAACATAAATACCTTTTTACTTTTTTTTATAGGTACAGATGAACAATCACAACTGGTTATTGGTGGTTTAGCTGCAATATGGGGAAGACTCGTAGACGAAACTAATCTGATATCCCTATCATGGTGAGAAATGTGCATAAGTCAATACCTAAATGTTTACATTAAAACTGACGTTAATGAGGATTGAGACCTTGATAAATATTATAATGTTATTATTTCATGCATTTATTCCCCTTGATGAATTTGAATAAAGCAAGAACAACAGTGGTTTGTGCAGAATAATATGGTACCATCATTTATTTCGTAGGCTTCTCATCAGCTGCTTACAGCCTAAATAAATTATGAGGTTTGCGTGCAGACGGGAAGTGACGGAAGACGGAAATTGACGGGAAGTTCCATTTCCTTGACATCGCCATGCAACGCCTAGAAGATGGTAATCTCCAGAGGTCAATTTACCGAAAGCCTACATGGAATGGACAATACTTACATTTTAATAGTTTTTGTCCAAACAGCTATAAACGAGCACTAGTCAAGACTCTGTACTATAGAGCAAGGAGAATATGCTCTACAGAGAAACTAGAGGAAGAATTTATGATTCTCGAAAAGATGCTGAAAAACAACGGTTACCCTCAAAGATTCATTAACAAATATGGAAGATGTGAAGGCTCAAATACCAAACAAATCACAGTTGAAAAAAAGCCTGTCTTCATTCAACTAGATTTTAAAGGTGAAAACATTGCAGAAATGGTCAACAGAAGACTGAGAACATCACTAGCTAGAGCCTATCCTGCAGCTAAGTTGGTTCCCGTCCATCGAACAACATGCTCTTTGGTGCAGTCAAAAGTCGATAGATACCCTTCTCATGTTAACTCCAACTGTGTATACAAATTTACGTGTATCTGCGGGAGCAGTTACATTGGGAGAACAGAAAGAAGGGCACACCTCCGATTTTCTGAACATGTGCCAAAAAGCCTACGTCTCAAGGGAACAAACTCTTATAGCAGCGCTATTACTAGACATCTTCTCGACACGGGTCATGAGGTAGAAATCGAGAAATCTTTTTAAAATTATCAATAGACAAAGGAGTTCCATTCTCCTCAAGTTTGCCGAAGCAATCTCTATCAAACGCTTGAAACCAGATTTATGTGTTCAGAAAGAAGCAGTTATTAATCTTTCTTTGCCCTGGTAACTGAATGTCTTTATTCTCTCATCTGATTACGTAATCTTTGTCTTTAACCTCACCCCCTTTTATATTCTGTAATTTTGCTTGTCTCTTGTTTCTATGATTTGAGTTGAACTCAGTACATTGTTACCTAACTTATTAGTCACTCTGTATCTAACTCATATTTCGTCTTTATTACGTAACTCTTTTACCATTGTATGCATACATCTATTTTGTTTAAACTTGAACTGCCTGTGTAAAAACTATATAAGCGCAATTTTCTGAGCACTGTTCACTTACTGTGGAACTTTTTGTCAACTGACAACATGTAAAAATTTGCAAGTATGTTAAAACTTTTCTGTACGCAAACCTCATAATTTATTTAGGCTGTAAGCAGCTGATGAGAAGCCTACGAAATAAATGATGGTACCATATTATTCTGCACAAACCACTGTTGTTCTTGCTTTATTCAATGTTATTATTATTAATCCCTTTGGTTCCTAGTTGAACATAGGACTTCAGCAACATACCTACATTCCACCCTATTCCCTGAAGTCCTTTTTAACTGGCCACACGAGTGCGTATAAGCTTTTATTTCCTTGTCACACGATCTCCTCCACGTCAACCTCAGACCAACGCCAAACACGTCGTTTCTCATTCAGGTTTCAGTCCAGTGTGTGACACATACTCAGATGAGATGTACGTTTGACTGCTAACACACGAATAATAAGGATTCAGTGTGTAGGAAGAATTATTCATCCATCTGGAAATCGAAAGTCTGTTAAGACAATTTGACTTTGATTTATAGAAGTTGACCATAATAATTTGATTATTTGAATTACAAATTCAAGCATTGGTTTCTAGGGATTTGATTGATTGGTTACGGGATTTCAACTTGAGCTGACATCAGTTAGAGAACCATTGGAAAGCCAGCTGTTTCGTCTGTCTCGTTTGATACTCTTCATCAGTACGCACCCATCGCCAGCCTTCGAACCCAGGACCTTCTGGTTACAAGGTTAGCGAGCTCGTAGACCATTAGGCCACTGAGACCCGATCCAACGGCCAACGCATGAATTCCAACTTCTGCAATTTACGACATAGCGCAACCACTAGCCAATGTCTTCAGCGAATATTTGTCCTCACACCCGACCTGCTGTAGCCTACTGGAATGCATAGGTCATTGGATTGGGTCCCAGTGGCTTAATGGTCTAACAGCTCGCTAGACTTGTAACTAGATGGTCGTGGTTTCGAAAGCTGCCGGTGGGTGCGTACTGATGAAGAGTCCCAAACCAGAATGACATAACAGCTGACTGTTCGGTACTCTCAGGTGGTTTTCCAATGGTTCTCTAACCTATGTCAGCTCATGATGAAATCCTGAATTACAAATGTTGCCGTTATTATTTAGACTACTTATATATAAACTTACACAGAACTATATTGTCAGACTCCCTGAAAGAAATGATAATCTCTGGTTGATTTCTTAAATGTTTCATCGATTTTAGTAAGTGAATGAATCTAATATGGTACATGGAGATTCCCTGAAAAGTGTACAGACAAAGCTTCTTTGTAACTGCACACTTCATGCTACAGTGATCTGCCTCCATTACGTTTAGAGATTTCACTAGCTGGAGTTAAAATAGACAGTCTGAAAGTTGTAAGGTTAATAAAAAGAGGGAATGACTTCTAGTTGAAAACAACTTTGTAAGAATTATTCGATAATTATAATATATTTGAACTCGTAGTGCAATTTCCAATGTTTTAAAACTTTGTTTTAATGCGTGAATATACAAACTGGCACCAATGCGCCATTTTACGCTTTTCCATTGTTCTGTCAACATGCACGTTCTTTGAATCTGTTACACAACCATAGGCATTGATTTGATGATATTAGATGATTGGAGGCAGTCGGCCACAGGAAGCCTTGGACCTAGGTTTCGTGCTGGCTGACACCGGTTCGAATCTCAGAAGGGACGTGAGTTCCTTCAAAGTGGTTGTAGATACGCCTTGCTGGAGAGTGTCAACTAGCACGAAACCTAGGTCAGGCAAGGCTTCCTGTGGCCGATTACCTCCAACCATCTAATATCATCAGATCAATGTGCACCATGATGGCGAGCGAGCTACCTAGAATGGTGGCCACATTGCAAACCTGACTGATAGAATTCAGTCTGCACCGAAGAAAGGACTAGACACATCACACTAGTTACTGACTAGTGTCCAATCAAACAACCGCAGTCTTTTGATAAGTTCTAGACCTTTCTGCCTGGATAATCTTTACCATTTACTCTAATCAAATAGACGGCTAACAAGAGGAAATTTCCTCAACAATCAGTAGTTGACTTTTGCTTCTTTCGACTCTGATAATTTCAAATCAAAATGTATTAGTTGAATAGGGGACTTCACCACCATAGTCGTATATTAAAGCCGACTGTATATCAACCGATGTGGGATAGCTCTAGGAGTTTGTGTCTTGAAATGATGATGAAAAACTTAGTGGGGATTCTCTGAAGTTTCTTATTTTGTCTTATATATTTCAACACCAAGTTTGGTGACATGGTCACGGTATGTCTGAACTTGATGAAGAAAAATCTGCAACCGAATATTAAAACTAAGGGAATAGCTCAGTGGTAACGTCTCTGACTACAGCATTTGGGGAGCCGGGCTCGAATCTCAGAAGGAGTATGAGTTCCTTGATGATGAGTGCTAACAAGTACGAAACCTAGGTCATTCAAGCCGCCCTGTCGACTGCTTCCAACTATCTGACAAACATTAATAGTACTCCGTGATGCGAACCATCCAGCAAGATAGCTACATTGCAAACTTGACTGACAGAGCCAACCAACCAATCAATCAAACAAAACACCTGAAGAAACCAATACAAAACCAAATTGATCTGATGCTCACTAGCGACTGGTCCTATTCAGGCAGTTAATCTGGGGTTCTAGTGGGAAGCTGTCAGCAATAGCGTGTAGCAGGTTGTATGTGAGGCAGTAACTCACCGAAGAAGACATTGTGAACTGGTCGCTCTATGTCATGAATTTAGAATTCAAGGACTGGCCATTGGATCGGGTCCCAGTGGCTCAATGGTCTACGAGCTCGCTAGACTTGTAACCAGAAGGTCCTGTGTCCGAACGCTGGTGGGTGGGTAATGATGAAGAGTTCCAAACTAGACCGACGAAACAGTTGGCTGTCCAGCAGTCTTAGGTTTTCCAGTGGTTCTCTAACTGATGTCAGTTCATGCTGAACTCCTCCATCCAATCAAACAAAATCCCTACAAAACCAATACTTGACAATAATTACTTGTTTATATGTGTTTGTACACTGGGTTTGTCCCACAAGAATAGAAATTACTCAAGGTTATTGCTTATATCACCAAAATATTCCCAAAATGTGGTGAATAATCAGAATTACAGCGAGGGGAGAGAAGACTAGTAAGTCTAGACTAGGGTTACGTAATATGAAAAAGTTCAGAAAGAATTGGATGTTGATGAAAGAGCACGGGAAGAGAGTAAACATAATCTTAACCAAGAAGTCTATGATACAAAGTTGTATTAACAGTTGAACATGGAATTATACCCACGACAGAAGGAGGGGATGGAGAATTTTTATTCTGTGTGCATTAATCAGAGTTTCCTGTCCGAATTTTATGATTCCAATCACAGAAAGAACAATTTATAGCAATCGTTTATAATGGAATGGGAGGCAGACGATATCTTAAGCTCACCCTCATACAATGCTGGAAAATGAATTACAACTGATGATTTCTCGCTATCGTTCAAATCTGAACTAACATTCAACATTCACTTAGACGCTGAATAACTTAACCGCAGCTATTCAGCTGGATCTATTTCACTTCCACCATGCACTTTGAACTTATCATCCACGATAAAAAACTCTGTACTGACACGAAGTTGGTTAACATTAGAGGTATAGTCAGATGAGTGTTCCGCAAATTTTAGAAACAGTTGTCAATAATGAATTTCACTTAGCATTCTGTTGTCTCAGGTAATATAACCATGATATTTTGTCCTTACTTGACATCTTTATGTAGGCCTAGAGCTGCTGCTGCAGCTGAACGTCTTTGGTCTAGAAATCCTGAAGATATCGAAAAGTTTGGTGAACGATTAAGTGAACTTCACTGCAGGATGGCCAAGTGAGTATTTTTGCTTTTTAGCTTGTGTATCAGCGCTATTAAAGTTTGAGAAGTGTATAGATTTGTTATGCAACTCAAAAAGTTGTAATCAAGTAGAATGACAACATGATTTCCCTTCCGGTTTATGTTTATACACTTGAAAAATCAATATGCTTTCACACTCATAATGTAATCAGATTAGAAGAGATTAGCATATCGAAAGTGATGAGAAGCAATCCCAGGTGATGTTTCATTTTTAACTCAGTATTATTATTATTGTTCCCTTGGGTTCCTAGTGGAACATAGGGCTTCAACTGCACGCCTCCACTTGCTTCTATCTTCTGCTGTACTTATCACCTGCATCCATGTTAATCCATACTGTTTCAGTTCCTCTTCACACGATCTCATCCATGTCACCCTTGCACCGACGAACCACTCGCCGCTACCCTTTCGAGTTCCACTCGAGCATTGGCCTGACGCGCGATGTCACTCAACGGCCTCCTCAGCGAGTGTCCAATTCATCTCCACTTTCTCCTGCATATTTGTTGAACGATTGGTTCTTGTTTTGTTTGTTCCCATAGCTTCTTGTTGGTGATTCTTTCTGGCGGCCATCTGATCTTCAGTATAGGGCGAAGACAGTTGTTGTTATAAAGGTCTGCAACAGGCTGTTGGAAATATTCTTAGTGACCCGCCAAGTTTCTGATCCAACCGTATAGAAGAACTGACTGACTTGGCGTTTGTATTGAAAATCCTAATTTTGTTGTTGATGCAGGCTGAGTGACGAAGATTTCCAGATTGGTTTCAGGTTGATGAATGTGTTTCTCGCCTTCCTGATTCTCGATTTGACATCTTCGTCCGTTCCTCCTGTAGTTGAGACAATGCTCCCTAGATAAGTGAATGAAGTAACCTCTTTCAAATCCCTCCCATTATTTGTGCGTTGAAGTTTTAGTAGCACTTTGGTTAAGTTTTGGGGGTGGAGTTGCTAGCACCACCACCTCCCTCTTTATCCGGTCTTGGGACCGGCTAGAATACTAGTGACCTAGTAATCTAGGCGAGGTTTTTAACTCAGTATACACTGACGATTTTAATTCTTCTCCCTTGATGCTCCTCTCTTTTCCTCTCACTTCATATTGTCTTCAACCTATTATAATTTCCACATTATTTGGGAAATATTTAGTCTGAGGAAGTCATTTTAATGGCAAAATTTCATTCCTCATCATCAACTCTTCTTGACAGTTGATTGAAGCTGCTGGGAATCATCTTGAAGATGCATGAAGGATTTTGATGTGGTTATGTTCTCTGAGCTGGATAGTTAATTTGTGAAGCTTTCATTTCCCTACTGAGCAACATCTTTAGCGTATACTTCAATGTGTTGAAGTGAGCTTTTAGATTTCTCTACGAGTTTATTAGTCATCTCTCCTGGTGACCTGACCTTGAATGTGATTCGTTGTTTTTGTGTGTTGTCACACCCTCTAGGCGGCTACTTGTATTGAAACTGATTGTTTCCTTGACTTGGACTTTAACCCTTTGTGTGTGAGATTTCCTTCTTATCGGTTGATAAATTTTGTCTATCTCAATGTGTCTATTGATTGATGATTCACTGGAATGCTAAGCTTCTAAAAATTCTCTAGCATTCTTGTTGTTTCCTCTGTCTAATATTTGAACGTTGTCCCAGTCGAATTGATGTCCGTGGCTTTCTGTATGTAGTGATATGAGGGAGTGGATGTCATGTCTTTTGACAGTTACTGAGTTTATGATCATGGATACGAAGACGAAGTGGGTGTCCACTTTGGCCAATGTAGTGTTTTTCGCAGTTGTTACAATTTATTTTGTAGATGATGTTGGTTTTATCTTCTTTCGCTGTTGAGTCTTTTAGTTGACATAGAACTGAGTGAAGTGATTTTGTTGGTTTGTGTGCAACGTCAATTCCTAAAGGTTTGACGAGTCTTGCAGCGATGTCCTTTAAATATGGTAGGGCGATTTTCTTTGTGCTTTCCTTGGGGGCCTTTGATTTGATAGGTTGACTTGGGGTAAATGTCTTGGATGAAATTCCGTGGATATCCAATTTTTGGAAGACAGACGTCCATGAGATATCTTTCTTCAATTTTTCTTATGGTGAGAGTGCTGCAATGAGTCCTGAAGAATTAAACTGACACTAACAGTTAATAGTACAACAGATGCTTTTTAATATTTTCTTGTAAAGTGAGAATAGCAAATGTCAGGGGTTACATGCATTTCCGTGCAATTTATCGTCATATTTCCTACTGTCTGTAGTCTGGAAAGGGGAAATACTTAGGATCCTGATGGATATAAGAATAAAACTTTTGCACTGTGGTAGAGTGTAATTCCATTATGGGTGAATTTTATTTTGATAGAGTCTCACAGTGCAGGCAGGGTATTAGATAAACTAAATTGTTTTGTTTCAAAGGCTCCACAGGATTGATCCTCTAACCGACAAAGCTTGTTTCTAATTCCATTATGGATAAGATTTTATTTTGATAAATCACACAGTGTTACACAGTAATATTAACTGATGACGTTTCGAGCACAAATTATTGCTCATAACCATATCAAGTTACTCACACAACTTTTTCCTTCATTTATATACATGTGTGGAATCGACTAGATATTGGATTAAAATTCAATATGAGATAATCTACATTCAGATACAATAATATATATATATATAGTTTCTTGATACATATAAATTCACTAGTAGAAGGAATAAAATTCACATTTGAATCAGAAAATGAACAAGGAGAATTAGCTATGTTAGATTGTAAAATAAAACGAATAGAAGAAGGTAAACTACACACTAGTGTTTATAGAAAACCAACGCATTCTAATAGATATTTAGACTTTAATTCATCTCATCCTTTAACTGTTAAGGCAGGCTTAGTTAAAGGTTTAACAAACCGAGCAATGGCACTAAGTAGCACAAAAAAAGACCTAAATGATGAAATAAAACAGAGAGAAGAGGCGTTGGTTCTAAATAACTATCCTATAAAATTCATTAGGAAGATTGAAAAATGCCAGAAGAAAAATAAAAATAATTGTGAAACTAGTAATAAAAACATAAATAAGAGAGAATATAAGTCATCTACAGTTATACCATATAAAGAGGGGACATCTGAGGCACTACGTAGGATTATCAATTAAGCAGGAATTAGGGTGGCATTCAAACCTGCAAACTCACTCAGAGACAAGCTCTGTAGGCTAAAAGACCCGGTGGACCCAATTAAACAAAATAATATAATTTACAAAATACCCTGCAATGACTGTGAAGTCAACTACATAGGTCAAACTAGTAGATCAGGGATAGTCAGATTGTCAGAACATAAGAATTTAGCTAAGGTAAGAATTGTTGACCCAGAGAAGATAAGTAATTTAGAAGAAAGCTCAGCGATTGTACTGCATGTATTAACAAACAACCACACAATAGGGTGGGAGAGGGTTAAAATTCTAAAAAGTAATCTAGGTAGGTGGAGAGAGAGGTTGAATACTGAATCTTTGTTCATCGAATCTACACCCAACACGTGCAATAGGAATGAATCATCACTCATACCTGAAATATGGTAAATAATACTACCAATCAAATCAAGTGAAAATCAAGTGAAAAACAATGGAACTATATAAATGAATTCAGAAAGTCGTGTGATTAACTTGATATGATTATGAGCAATAAATTGTGCTCGAAGCGTCATCAGTAAATATTACTGTATAACACTGTGAGACTCTATCAAAATAAAATTTACCCATGAAATCCTGATGGTCATTTGGTTGAGAACGAATGTCTGAAGAGAGAGAGAGACAGAAGAGGTCTCGTAGATTTAGAAGTTGTAGCAGTAGTAAAATAATGGGAGTCAAAGAACTTCCGAAATAGATAGATTTCCAACACACTGTAGCACTGCAGCGTTGAAGAGAATGCAGGGAAAAAATCTACTAACCGTCTTCAAAATGAATGAATATCCTCACAATTTCATCAAAAAGTGTTTAAAATGGAGTCAAAACACCAACAATATACTATCATCATCAAAGGCCACAAGAAAATTTATTCTACCATATGTGAGAGATATATCTGAAATAACAGCTAGAATATTAAAACTGTTTGAAATAGATATAGTACACGAGCCAGCCAGGCAGCACACTCCCTTCATTCGATATTGTTCAAGCCGAAAGATCCAGCAGCGTAAGAAGATAGGATAAACACCATTTGCAAAATAAATTGCGTAAACTGTAACAGACATTATATCGGTCAAAGTGGGCATACGCTTCGAATCCGAATCCAAGAACACAAATTGGCTGTAAAAAGACATGCTATATATGTTATTTCATCTCAATGCATGTAGATAATTAGGAACATCATTTTGATTAGGATAATGTCGAAGTTTTAGGCAGAGGAAACACCAGAAGTGCCAGAGAATTCCTAGAAGCCTTGTACTCAAGGGAATCAGCGATTGACAAACATCATTGATATAAGGATAAAACTTGGGCACTTTGTTAGAGTATAATTCTATTATGGATTAACAAACATATGAATATAGACCAAATTTACCAACTAGTGAAAAGTAAATCACGTAATGAGAAAGTTCAAATTCAAAGTCAATAAATAAATGATCGACTACCAGTCACGAAGATGGTTGCTAGGAGACACAATTCTATTATTCATAGAGAATTCAAATCAGTTCAAGTTTATGCTAAAACTTGTGCTGATGATGTTGTCCAGAAGGAAGACGAAAGCTTCGCAATTTAACCACCTCAGAGAACACAACCAATTCTGTCACAACAATGTAGAACTTTGGAAGAAAGGAAATAAGCTGAAAGGAATCGGATAAATAAACTTAATTGACGCTAAATTTCTATTTCAACAAGACAACATGTGAAAGATTTACACTATGAAGTTGTTAAAAGCTATGAGTACATTTCATTGTGTAGTGAATAGTTAATAAAAGCAATAAGTTTCGACTGCAGAGCTCCATAACACTACCGAAATTATATGTTTACATATATCAGACAGTTGTCTGTGGTAATATCCAAAATCTATCAATTATTTTCATTTATGAAAACTCCAATATCATGCATGGTATAATGACGAGCAGTTCTGATGTTTTAATTTGTTTACTTCAGGAACAATATCCAAGGATATCCGGTGAATGGACCTGGCTTTTGTCCACCTTAGACAGTATTCCCAATCAATTGTAAACTTTTATTTTTAATGTTGTTTGTTAATGATTCCTGTTTCACATTAAGTATAATTCTCTCCAGTGTATTCTTAATTCATGCATACCAACATAGTACCTTGGATAATGCCAAGTGTTAGCAGTATCTGTACCTGTAACGATAGAAGACAAGGGCCAGGCAACAGATCATTTATTGAGAAAATCAGCAGATATTTATAGATGTACACTATCATTCGTTATTGTTAGCAGGGAAGCAACGTCTTCTGACTGGTTGTTCTCTCGCTGAAAGTTAATCTGTCATCTCTTTGTGGCCGTTTCTTAGACAATCCGATGATATATATATATATATATATATCTGCGAATCGTAACTTCCCAGACTAAGTCTGCTGTGATTGGTTGTTGAGTTCCTCAAATGTAGGCTTTGTTATTGTTTTTCACAAGATCCCGATTCGGGACGTAAACATTGGCGGAAATTATTGTCCACAATTGTAGCTTGCAGACAGCTCTCACCACACTTCTATTCTCCTTCAGTCGGTCACCGTTGTTGGATATCACCTGAAGATTATGGGAATAAAAATTACCACTTTTAAGTGGACACAAGGTCTCACCTTGTATTACAATCAAATCCCCAAAATCAGAAGATTTACTACTTGTGATATGATCGCAATATTATGTTGTATAAGCTTGTAAATTGTGAATGGAATTATTAAGCAAGATTCGTCAATGAAAGAACATTTGGGGCTGTAATGAAAAGAGTAATCAGCGGTTGAGTTGACCCCAAGATACTTATTCTCCTGCAGACAACTAGTTAGACACAAACATTCCCCCGGTCTCTGTAAGACATTTGTTAAAACTCTGATAAGCAGTTCAAACTGTTGAGTAGTCAGGAGTGAATTTTACTCATCCAATAAACATCACTCATCGACATATGTATTGTTGTAAATAAATGAAATATACTAAGAAAAACTTACTTAACGGAGTGATGATGATGTTCAATGAAACTATAAGCTTCTGATTACAGCCCTAGGCGAAATGGGATCTGTTTAACGAGGGGACATTATTCACTTCAGTGCCGTAGATACATTTTCCTGATGAGTGCCAACAAAGACGAAACCCAGCATTACGATTTATTGACGATTGCATATAACCACATGACACCGAAAACATACTATTTAAAATATGCATCTCCACACACAACTGAAGTCAACGGAACGTTGAACTGAATGTACATCGTTAGTTAATTACTAATGTGCGTCGGTGGCACAGCGGCTAGGACTCTCACCGACCATGGACACGGTCCGGGATTCGATCCCCTGCCTATGCACAACTGATATCGGGTTGCAAAATTTGGGCTACCGTTATCACATACTGAAAATTCCATACTTGTAACAAAAATACGGTGTGTTTTCAAGCTTTAATAAAAAGAATATGGAGCAAGCGTAGACGGTTGTTGATAAAAAATCTGGAAATACTTTCTGTGATACGCTGACCAAGTTTCTCACCTATATATAGAGGAAATTACTGAATTAAGATGGGTGCTGAAAATTCGAATCTTGTACTTTGTATTGAATGGAGGAGATTTCCAAACCGGTTTTGAGGTTTGTGAAGGTGTACCTTACCCATTCCAATCTAGGCTGGCTAGCTTTGTCGTCTTCATTCGTTCCAACTGTCTGTATTTTAAATGATGCTTTCTAGATAAATGAAGATGTTTCACGCTCGTTTTCGCGAATTCACATGGTCAATGAAAAGCTACTTGAGACATGATGTCACAGGGTGAATACATCTGTCTTTTAAAAGAAACATTGAACTAGGTACATGAAACGTGAAAAAGGGACTGATGTATGTGAATTTCAAAACAGTTATTCCCTCTGATAAATTGGAATTAAGCATTTAGAAGGTAAATGTCATGAGCTAATATTATTTCTTAGTGCGTCGGTAGCACAGTGGTTAGGACTCTCGCCGACCATGCACATGGTCCGGGGTTCGATCCCCTGCCGACGCACGCCAGATATCTATGGTCGGTCTGCAAAATTTGGGCTGCCGATATCACATGCTGAAAATTCCATACTTGTATCAAAAAACTGTGTGGTTTCAAGCTAAAATCAAAATAAAAGATCGCTTTACAACTAGCATGGTTCATCGCAATAATAAAATAAGATGTATGATATTTAGTCATTTATATATAACAAAAGCATGTACTACTTACTAATAGCCAGTATATTTAAGTAGGTCAAGCATTCCATGGTAGGCACATGTTGAAGTCTGTTGGTTTTTGTACACAAACTTTGGGATGGAACAAATTATATTTATATGCAGCGAGGAAGTGATTGACGAAGAACTGCGTAATCTCCGAGGAACCCTGATGGAAAACGGTTTTCCGCCTAGGTTCATAGACAAGAATCTCAAATCAAAGAAGACTTCTGAACAAGTCCACTCCGTCCCAAAGAAGATACTTCTGCTTAATCTAGAATCCGAAGGTGACATTGAAGCAGAAATCCTTCGTAAACGCCTCTCCAAATCTCTGAGGAAAACATACTTCGCCGCGAGCCTACAACTGGCGTTTTCCTGCAAGAAACTGTTCAGCCGGAACGCTAAAGACAAGTTGTCACATTGGGACACTTCAACGTGCATATACCAGTTTACTTGGGCATGTGGAGCTGAGTACATCGGCCGTACCATGCGCCAACTTGAAAAACGCGCTCGTGAACACTATTCAGTCTGGCTAGTAAAAGGAGAACGAAAACGTGTATATAGCTCAGTGAAAGAAAATCTGGTCAATTTGGAACATCCAGCGCCATTCGAGAAATCCTTTAAAATAATATACAAGATTTGATCAAACCTATCAAAGAGAGTGAAATTAAGACATCTGGGCATAGCCGAGACACTAGCTATCCAAAAGCTTAAACCCACGCTATGTATAAAAAAGAAATACGTCCAACCCTTGTCACTGCCATGGCCATCATAAACAGGAAATTCTTCTAATAGTAGCTATCCCATTGACTTTCTTATCCAAACTTCCTCTTTAATCACGTTGTTTCTAAGTTTTTTTCTTAATCCCTGTCTACACTACCATATTTTCACATCTGCACTTCCTGTCTGATTTGCCATTTTACTATTTCTACATATTTAATCCCTAATTGTATAAACAATTATTCGTCACATTAGTTATGATCCCACTAGATTTTGTTATCCAAACATCCTGTCTATTTTTGTTATTTCTACATTTTTAACCCCCAATTGCACAATATTTCAATCTTCTCAGTAATTATGATGCTACTTTGTTTGAGTTTTAACCTTCCCCCTGTTTATTATGGCATTTTAATTCCTTATTGTAATTTTATTGATTTGACCCCTAACCAGACCGGAAATTATTCTGGACATTTCCCACCCATTTATCATAAATAAACGAATGTACAGCGTAGTTGATGTCTTCATCAAAAAGAAAATTTTTGTTCGCTGCAACCGTCTTTTTAATAATTAATGTGATCTAATGTGTTTACCCCGTAATTTCCACATTTAAACATTAAGAAAACAGAAAGATTGAGCGAAGAAATATTTACCTTTCAATTAGATCCTCGTCTCACTCTTCCTCTACTCTAATATACACGTATATAGCACTTTTATTACAATCCACAACAATTTGCCAATCAAGTGGCACTGATATGTTTGTTAACAATAATTAGTCAGTCAGTGCCAACATGTCAAGCAGTGGGGTGATAATTAATGAAGAAAACTAATACACGAAAAATACCCATTCATAAGTAAAAACACAGTTTGTCTTTTTGTTCAGCGAAGAAATTTCTTTTCAACGACTTCATTTTCAAGCTGTACAGTCGTATTTATATTACAGAAAAGGTCATTAAGTGGCACTAAATAATTGCTCAGTCAATATACATATATGTGATAAGAATAACGATAATTAAAATGTTATAAGGGGTAGAGTTGAAGTGGATAAATTACAAAATTATTAAAGATTGTTTTATAAGTGAATTGAAATCAAAAATGTTTTAAAAATGTCAAGTGTTGTCTAAAAATTTTAAAAAATAAGAGTACGATTACGATAAGAATGAAGATGTGAAGTGAAGTGGAAAGAATTCAAGTGGTAAAATAAAATAAAGTAAAAACTAGAAAGAACATTACTATGACCAAGGAGAAGAAAGGGGTTTGACAAAACGTTTTTGAACACATAATTTAGGTTTCTGTTCATGTATAGTTGAAGCTTCGGCTATGCATAAGTGAAGAAAACGTAAACTTTTGGATCGATTCAATTTTTCCATGTAGATAACTTTGAAAGATGAATCACGTGGGGCTAAATGACCTGACTGTAACAGGTGATCACAGATAGACGACTTCACAGTTCTACGTTCGCCTTTCATTAACCAGACTGGATAGTGTTCAGCTACACGTTTTCGGAGATTACGCTTACAACGTCCAATATAAACAGCTCCACAAGAGCAGGTAAAAGAGTAAATACACATAGATGTGGACAAAAGCGGTAATCTATCCTTGACGCATTGTCTAATCATATTTCGGCTGGTAAAAACTAGTTGCAAATCAGCTGCAGAAAAAGTGCGTTTAATGCATTTAGATAAACGATTTTTAATCAATTCCGAAATGGTATCACCTTTGAATGCCAGGCTGATAAACAGTTTTTTCTTTGGCACTGTGATTTGTCTAGGGGCGGATTCTTTCTTGATGTTACGTTCGATAAGCCTTGTAGGATAACCATTGTTAAGGAGATTTGATCGAAGATTATCTAGTTCACTATCAATTGTCTCTGCAGAGCAGATTTTACGAATTCTGGAGCATAAGGAATGAATAAGATTTCTCTTTCTCCCTAACGGTACCCAACTGTTGAAGTTAGTGTACTGCCCAGTGAATGTTGGCTTTCGGTAAATCGACCTTAACAGCGTGCCGTTCTCTCTTCTATCTAGCTTAACATCAAGGAAGTGAAATGAGGAATTCGACTCTTCTTCGACTGTGAAAAGCAAAGATGGGT